ATGCTTCGAGAGTTGCCCGGTCCCTACCCAGGCTCCAACCAGCGTTGTCAGATTACAAGATAAGGTGGTTACCTTTAGGCTACGGGATTGAGGAGGTCGAGTGCCACAGATCTCTGCTGTTCACGGTCGTGGATACAGACTGACCACATGGTGATCGATTACCATTGACCAGGCTGTTGGTGGGACAGCAGATCAAGTTGAAGTATTTAACTCACTTCTGATCACGCGCTTGTATGTACTAGAATTGTTACAGGTTCCGCCCCCCCCCCCACTCAGAAGGGAGTGTAAACAGGTCAGTTGCAGGTGCCTTGTCCGCTGTGCGGTCACATTTTAATCTGACTACAGAATCCACCTTTTCTGATGAAATTATTAGTGTGGTACGCTTCACTTGCACAAGTAGAAATGAGTTACAGCCGAACCGCGACTTCTTAACGTGCTTTCGGTTACTGATAAAACGACGGAAAGACCGGCCTGCTAGTTATGAAATGAGCAGACGCAACTGAAGAGTAAAGCGCGTCGCCTAACCGCATACATCATACTTGCCACACTGGATTCACTTAGCGTCGCTATCCTATGGTGTGTTTAGATGCTGGTGGCAATCTTAACTGAAATCTGGACTCCCTGTAGTGTCCTTTCAAACACTAGGTTTGTGTGGTTGGGTCGTTATCAACCACATTCGATCTGGAGGTTGCGTTACATCGTCCGCTCCCATCTACCTTACAGGTTTGGTTAACATCACTGATGAAACCGAGATTACGAGTCTAACCGGTGTGTTGCAAGCGTTAAGCAGATACCATTAGTTGGATTCCTGCATTCCTTGCCCCTGGAGGCCAGGGTGATATACACCCCCTCACGGCCGATTAATAACCATGAAGAAGTTGCACGCTATTCTGGAGTCTCTGAACACGTTAGAAAACAAGAGGCGACGAAAATCATTCGTGCTGTAGCTGATGCATTATGAGGCAGAAGGAAGACAACCAGTGTGGATAGATGAAACGACTTTCAACCTTTTCTGCGGGCGCACCAGGGGCACAAAGTTGATAGCCCAAACTAGCGGATGGGGTTCTCGATGGATTCCGATAAGTAATTGCGTTATAAGTGCGTAGTTTTGCAAAAACAGAAGTGCATGGAGTGAAAGCGAGATTCTCCCCTTCGAATGTGGTCCCAATGATCGAAATGACTGGGGATCACTTTAAATTAAACCATGGCCTTTAATGAGATTACCTGTCGCAAAGCAGACTTATGGCGGATGCCCCAAAACCCAACGATTAATCTCAAAGCTGTTCATCAAGTTCCACGAGACCCACTGAACTGAGTGACCGTAGTGGGTGCGACAACAATGGTGTAAAGGAACACGCACACGTAGTGGTCGGCCAGTGGCCGAGTGGTATGCGCGTCTGGTTTGCAACCATAAAGTCACCGATTCGAATCCGCGTGGGGGTGGGCGTCCACGCGGTATACTCAGTCCACGCGCGACTACTGGTGGCCGCGTGGCAGCGAAGCGCCGTTACGGCGTACAGCTGGCGACTTACTTACTTATTTCATACGTAGTGTGGAATAATAGACCTGTTTTTTGACCGCTTCAAATGGGAAGTCTGTGCGTCCACGCTCAATAACAAACGAGGTGGGTCCACAGGCAGCTAACCCGAGAGCACCTCGTCTGAGTTCATGTGTAATATATTAACTGAGCAGATTCAGAAACATCTGTGTCACATAGCCGCGTTCTGAGGAGAGGGAAGGATGAGTCTGAGACAAGACAGATGAGAGCAAACCAGTGTAAGCAGTGCCATCCATAAAAACCCAGTGGACCACCGAGGCACATAACCTGTCCACCACGTTAATGTCTAGCACATTCGTGGCAATATTGTGTTACGAGTCCTAAGCAAATACCCGCAGCTCCATCCTACGGTACCGACAGATGAGCCGTCGCACGGACAGCAACACCATGGTTGGAGATCGAAGGAGACATAGGCAAGAAGCGCAACTGGAGATGTGATTCAAACTGCTAATTACTGGCCAAGGGCCAGCTTACGTCATTGCAGTTTTGGATGTAACTGTCATACATTAGTTAAAGTGGAAGGTATGGTGAAAGACTCGCCCACGATAGACCCAGTCTGGCCATCTCCGCAGCCATTTCTGGCCGAGGGCAAGCATTCGAAGCCTTTCCCGGTTCTGTGTATGATGCCCAAGCGGCGGTGGATGTAGGAATAGGGGTACTGGTCAATACAAATTCACCAAAAACTACTCCCGAAAAACGGCCTGTTTAAAATTCCAAAGCGATTGCGGCTTAACAAGAAAGTTGTGCCTGTTGGAATAAATCGGTAGGTTGGAAATGTCCATCGCAGTTACTTGGTCGACGTGTGTGCTGCCGTCCACTCGTTGTCCGATAACATCGATGGATGCCAGCAGACAGTACCGGGGCTTCGCTGCAACGCAGCCATCTGCAATCGCATGATGATATGTGGGATACTTGAAATCGTCTGAAACCATGCAGGCCGGTGGGTCACTACACAGGAGCTGAAACACGCCGTCACCGGTCAGTGGTCTATGTCGCTTGCCAGTTGAAGATGATCCAAAAGCTGAAATACTACTCTCTAAAAAGCAGTAGTTTCCGCGCTGGCAAATGATGCCATCGAACGATTAGGACCTTGGTGAGGCAGATCATGTAATTGAAGTCGAAATCTAGATAAATGCGCGTTGGCAACGCACAGAATGATGGAGAGAGAAGCCGGTTGGCATGACCGAGGCGGAAAATAATCACCGAATCACAAGAGGAGGGCTGTAGGTTCAGGGAAAGGGGAGCTGGGAATTAGTGAAGTGAAGTGGATTTCAGGAAGCGTAGCGGCTGTCTAACTGTGTCCAGAACCGATAAATCCCAATCTCGCTCGAGCACGCTACTATCACACCAGCTGGAGTCAAAGTCGAGTAAAGTTGACAAGAGGAAAAAAGAAGTGGGGATTTGTGAAAGGTTCCTGGAGCTGTCGAAGCAGAATACGCAAAGCAGAGGAGTGCGGGCGTGGGATGTGTAAGCGACAAACTCGCTTAGGTGTCGAGTAACGCGTAAAATCTCCCCGTTCCAAATCAAAACAAAGCCGAGTAGTTAACTACGGTACTATACAAATAGAAATTAAAGTGAATATGTACATAGACTCAGATTCAGGTGGGGTTGGAACGGTGGGAAAATCCCTTGAGTGGTCCTTCTTGAGCGGATCGTCGAGCCAGAAAATGATGAGGTGTTCCGGGGTCACAGTGGATCTAAAACGAAACACCTCAACCACATTCTGGTCAACCAATTACTGCCCATGTTTCCTGCACTAGCAATCCCCGTTGTCCAGTCCCGTGAAGAAAGAAGGAAGGAGAAAGAGGAAAGTCATTTAATTAAAGGATAATACCAAAGAGAAAAAGGCACAGAATAGGAAGTCAAGTTGGAAGACGGATATGGTCAGGAGAAGGGAAAGGTTTCGTGCTGCCACCCAAGAGAGTCTAAAAGCCGCTCAAAATCGTTTACCGTAGTTTTACTGAGTACCTTTTCTGGAAGCGAGTTTCGGCGCTCGATAGCTCTACGCGATAACCGAGTTTCCGCTCTGATCCGGTAGGAAGGCGGCTTGTGCAGCTTCATAGGATGACTGCGAAGACAAGGCAATCTAGCCGGGCTAAATAGCCAGCTCAAGTCCGATCCAAACTACCCAAATAAAATGCGGGAAGTAAGGATCATGTCTCCTAGCGGCCGTCGGTAGTGCACTGAACACATACCGTAGCTATGTAGACAGTCGGGGTACGTTTGCTCATGCGGCCAAGCCTAGATGAAATATTCAAGATGGGGCCAAAGAAAAGTCGAGAACAGCCACAACAGCACCGGGTCTTTAAATTACCGTAACTGCCAGCGTACAACAAGATCACACAACACAATCCGCAAGCAAAATCCAACGGCCCTTTTAATGGGTCCAATAACTTTACGGGACTGGTTCGCTTTACAGCGCACAGGGTGGTGGGTGGTTATGTGTCTCAGGACAAATGTGGGATGAAAGGAGTAACAAAAGGGTCTGTGCTCGTGTGGCTGGGGAAAGGATCAAGTCGGCATGTGGTGACGCCAGGGCAAGTTACACAGTGTGGAAGCGATCATTTCTACCAGCGGGGTTGGAATGATACTAATTAGACTTCGATAGGAAAACAGTAAATAACACAATAGTCAGTAGGGGCGGGTGTCAGATAAGGCCATCCAGAGTAAAATCTAGATAACCAAGGTGTGAATTGCAATGAAACATAGGTAACAACGTGGGGTTAGACAAATAGTTTGTACCAGGTGTCTCAGCAGATGGTGCAGGTGGGGTGGTTATCTGGCATATGATTCTGAGATCCAACTTGACGTTTGCGGGGTAATTTTACCACTAACAGGATGCTGTCTGCAATATCCTGGCAAAACCATTTCTGCAATGTTTGACTGCATAGAACTTCCTGTGTTCCAAAGTAGCAAACCAAGAATAGGGGAGATATGGTCAAATGTCAAAAAAGTGTGTAAGCCGTGCATGCTTACCACAAAGACGGTCTGCGCCGAATAAACCTCCCGTCTCGATAGCGCAAATGTATGAGATGTTCACCAATCGGTAATGATTTGAAATTTAAAGGTGGTCGTAATGGAAGATGATATAGAGCCAAGGCTCTTGAATGGCGTCTTAGTAGCAAGTCGTTGGGACGTACTGCTGCTACACGATCACAACCAGTCGCGAGCGGGTCCCAGGGATGTAGCGATATAACACATTTGCTCCAGATCGAGCCGGGCACCTGTAGATTACAAACTGTACGAAAAATCCCATTCGTGTTAACTTTAACCAGTGTTGCATTACGATGATATTTCTAACTGTCCAGTTTCCACTAAAGTTCGAATGAAGCGACAACGGATTAGTTGCAATGGCATGCGCATTATTATTCGTGAAAGTGAAGTGGTGATACCAAAACAAAGCAGACAGGATAAAAAAGCAAAAGCACGTGTGCCAACATACTCTCCATAAGTTGTTTGATTAGAAAATCCGCTTCTAAATCGGCTTTTTCAAGTACGTTTATACGATCCGACAAGTTTCTGTAGGCGTCCTGCAAGTTCTGCATTAGCGTGAACAGATTTGTGTAATTGGCGGATTGATCGTCCGAACTCCTTTGGATTACCAACCTTAGGCGAGACAGCTGAAACAGAGAGGACACAGACACATGGAATGATGACATAAAAGTGGATAATAATACTCGAGATGTTTCATAAAAAGGGAATCTATGTTGCAGTGTCAACCGCGGCCATAGGCATTAAAAGACAAAACAGAAGCCATAGGTAGGTAGCCAAAGGCGTTGCGAGAGTTGACGTGTTCCTCACCTCTTCCTCTGTACGTCTGGATCGATACATTAGATGTTGACGGACTTGCGACAAAAGGATCGATAGTCTTGAGATTGTGCCATTGAACTCCTGTCTTGCAACCAGTTCTGTGGGCTTAAGGCTGTTGAACAACAGAGTCAGCTGAGCAGAGATTGACCGGTTCGCAGCCTCAAGTACAGCGGACAGCAACTGATCATAATTGACATATTTCTGGTCACTCGGCGGATGCGTGTGAATATGAGAATCTTCAAATGATATGTTGTGCAGAGTAAACTGAGAAGTGAGCATCTGGAGCTGCATGAAAAGATCGTTCATGCCTGTCTTTGAATGAAGCTCTACAGCTGACAGACGGTCATCCGTATGCTGAAGTGCTCTGGTGATAGAAACGATAATTGATGGACGGAATATCAGATGTAATCGCAGGGCGCAGTAAGAATACACCAGAGACAACATGCCTAACAAGTGCCGTGAACAGAGTGAAATAAACGCCATGCATATACCTAAAACTGCCCTTTAAGAGAACAGCCAACAGAGTGCCAGTGAACAAGTGAAAAGATGTCCGCGGAATTCCACACGTTTGTAAGGGAAAACAACTCAGAGCACACTGGCATTAAGGCCGTAAATGAAACTTGTGATACCAATTTCATAAATATTGTGGCGGAGTTCCTGGCTGCCTCCTGATTGAAAACTTCGATGCTTTGATAGATAACTGAAGACAGGGTAAGGTGATAGTGATACGAGTAGATTTTGACATACCGAAATACGAATATAAAAGACGCCGCACGGGTAATGCGAGAGAGAATGTTGAATCATACTCACTTGGCGAGTAAGTCCAGTCTGTTATTGATATCTCTTGCGAATTCGCTCAGTCGATCGGAACGCATCTCTTCTGCTGAATCCCAAGCTCTGAGTGAAAGACCTTGGGACGTATCTGTGAATAGAGTAAGCAAAGACCTTGAAAGAGGAACTGATTAGACAAGGTATTGCGGAAAAGGAGACGATGTATGCCATTATCCGTGAAAAGGTAGCAGCTAACGCTGAACACACAATAAACGTTGCGCTATCTAACGGTTCTGACCTTCTCACATAGCTACTGAGAGAGTGCACAAATAAATCCATCTAATAAGAAGCTCAAATGACCCCTCAAGCGAAGAAAAGTGAAGTTAGAGGGAAAACGAAGAATTGACGCTCCTACTCTATGTGGCCGTAATTATCTTGGTTTCAGACGAATGTGCTATTGATAATATCGAAGCGATCACGGTATGCTGGGCAACTCCATGGTCAGCAGTTTCAAGTAAATAGTTGAAACGAGGTGAAGCGTGAGGGCAACACTTTTGGCATGGAGCCGACTTTCACGCTGAATATCTGTTGAACTTGACGACAGCAACAATACTGATATCACCAACTCTGTTCCGCCATACACCATACAATTAGAGTCAGTAAAGAAGCCCGTAGCGAAGTTGACTATAAAGCTCACCATACAAGCGTGATATCGATAGCTGTACCCTGGAAATTGCAACAATCACCCATTCTTGAAGCGGTAATTAGGTCAACATAAAACAATCAACGGTTGTTCACCAGTTCAATATCAGCATGGGGAGGAGCTTAATACGCGGGAAATGACCATCAGTAATGCTTAACAAGGCATCGTGTATTGACAGACCACCAGGTCCATGGAAATGATAATCTATTAATGCAGTTTCGTCTGCTGTGTACTCTAAGGTCATCGGTTCGAATCTGGTGGCTTCGTAGTACCCCTAGACAAAGTGTGACTGACAGAGTGGTCGTGTGGTGGTAATGAAGCATCGGCACGCACACATGTCGCATAAATGCATGTGGAAGCTATGCAAATCAGTGACTGATTCCAGAACGGTTTCGGAATATCAAGACCGATTTAGATAGACGACCACGGAGCTTGGTGGCTAACATCTCTCTAGCAGTGAAGGGACGTGTGTGGTTCATAATCCTTAGTTAACAGAGTGGAGTGCTATTATTTGACATGCAGACAAGAGCTCATCAGATAGAGCGAAAGAGGAAATGGAACCACCAGACCGCAACTCAAGGGCCGAGGATGGAAAAGAAATGGGCGTACGATGTAGCATCACACAAAGGAAGAGCCATCCACAATAAGATCTTGAAGTCATCATATTTATGGTGTCCCAGTGACGCACAAAACCGCTGGCAACAAGCAGGATGTGCACAAAACGTCACGATGAATTCTATGCAGAAAAAGATGAAGCAGCAGCAGTGGAGTAATAGCAGGCAAGTGTTGACAGTGGCGCACTCAAAATACAATCGTGCAAAACAGTGGGCGACAGCAGCTCCCGTGACAACTGATGAAAAGTTAAAATGACGACGCTTGCGCCAAACATGCACGATCCGAGCACCGAGGTTGGCCATCAAGTCAATGAAGAGGAACAACGTAAGCAGGAAAATAAAATAGAAGGAAGAAATAAGGACGCAAAGAAAAGGATAGTTTTGAATAAATGTCACACAATCGACAAGTTGGACTGGAGCCTCGTCCAAACAGAGGTAGCAATGGGAAGTGACCAAAATAGTGAAGACAGGTAAGGCTCAATGGGCGGTCCACTGCGATATGTGTACTGAGTGTATCAACTTGAGTGCCTATGAGTTATAGCGGCGGTTCGGGAACGCACTGTTAGCTATAGCTAATTGCTGAAACATAATGCAAGTAAGTTCGATAAAGACGCAGTACAATGGTGTGATCCTCCTTAGGGACATCTGTCGTTCAAGTTGAGTGTCGCCTGAACCAGCTTTCGTATGTTGGCATCAGACCGTCCGGCCTATGTCCATCACCCTCGCCGTTTAGCTCGCGCGTCACGTATCGAAATAGGAAGCGAAGGATGTTCGGGTGGTAGCGAAGCAAGCGAGCATTCGGAGGCTGATTAGATTTGAAGCATGCTACCTCACTCGGGATAGCCCCAGAGATCCAATGTGACAGGGGAAAGTCGAGGGGTCAATCGTGGACTAGTTCAAAACGCTGATACCTAGGTTCGACGGCGTTCCCAGGTGATCTCATTCTGAGCACTTGTTAATCCTGACGGATGAACGGGTTTGAAACGCAGTGGCAGGATCCACCGTACTCCAGTGCTCGGTGATTCCATCGAAGTGGGAACTTTAATGATGTGATAAATCGGCATGCTACAATTTAATTGTATCGAGAATGCCTCTAATCCTTGCACAATAATCAAAAATGCGGTAGAAGAGCTAAACAAAGTTGAAGGAATATCATGTCTAGATCAAGAGAAGTTACACAGAGATCTTAATAGAGGGGAGAGCACATACCAGCGATGTCCGAGGTGGGCTGCATAAACCACGGAAACCAGCGTCGCCATGCCAATTGAGACTCTGAAGTGTTAACATCCTTTCCAACCTCAGCGCCGCCATTATCATTGGAATCCGCCGATGGGGCAGGGGTAAGGAAGTACAGTTGATAAAGACAACGGAATCGCCAGTAGGCAACCTCCATGAGACTGGCGTTGGCTGACAATGTGTCAAATATGGCTCGTTTGCAGTCCAAATCGGACAAGAACGGCGGCAACAAAGGCGGCGCCTCGTCCTCGTCTAACGCTGAGAAACAGACAGAGACGAATCTACAGGTAAGCTTCGACTAAAGCATAAGAGGAGAGGAAGTGATGATATAGTCACCGGGTTTAGATCGACAAATTCAACGCAACTCCGCCATTCCACTGACTCAGACGATTTACAGCAATTATTGAACGAGGCAATGCGCGGTGTGTACTAAAAACAACTTTGGTGTCGGCAGGACATAATCTATGTAACAAAAAGGATCACTAGATGCATGACATCAAACTTGCCAACTAGTCCAAGCGATTCAGACATACACAAACGCACACACACACACGCACACACACACACTGAAACCATCCGTGCTAGACAAGCTGTTGGATTACGAAGAAACGTAATGTCATGCGAAATATTTTCCCAACAATGCATGGTAATTAAACTCAGACCTGCCAAGGCACTCACCAACTGGAGCGAAGAGAAAAGCCAAAAGCAAGCCAACCGGGACGAGAAAACACAACAATCCAATCAAGCGGAAACAGCAATAGCCCAAGCGGGACAGTCCAACGGCTGTGGTCCGGACCGATTGACTGAGAAAATCGTACTGTTCTTCTTCGCCGGTACTGAAAAAGCAAGTTCAGTCGGAAAAGCGATGGACATTGGAGCAATTAAGATACGTAGGAGTGGGATACAGCGGTGAGCTCGTGTGAGTCGAGTCACTAAGAATTGGACCGGGAGCAAGAAGGTGTGGAATACATGCGTGTAAGAAGGAAAGCCGTTCTTGAGAGCCTCGTGAGTGTAACTCACTCCGAGCTGAGTGACACAAGCATGGACAATTACTGAATCAAATAGCAAGTCAAAAAAGACAAGGTTGGATATAGAGATACCGCGGAATTACAGGTCTGGAAACATGACGCAGATCGGGTCCATGATTGTAACACACCACACAGAAAAGCAAGCGAAATCAACTAAGGAAGTCAAGTGAAACACACGCCAGATGGGTGAGATGATTGAAAAAATAACCACTTACAGATTCGACACATTCTGAGTGTCAAACTGCGCCAAACGAGGATGCAGAGCCGGTTTGCCCTTGGGTGGGGAATCTGGGGCACCAAATACCTTGGGCGAAAGGTGACGCACAAATGAAGTCGTCGCACTGACTGACTGGCACAAAGTGCGATAACCGTAGGACAGAGCGGTTAGTAGAAGCGTTAAACACGAACCGGCGATCCGCTTCACCCAGTACGCAAGTGGACGCGAGGATGTTCTCATGGGGAACGCCGTTGTGTCCGGTCGAAAATAGTGACGATCCTGCGGATCGACAGTCCGACGTTCCACCTTTCGATAGCGTGATGACCGCGAATCAGTGATGCGATCCTCATCTTCACCGTCGCTTGACACAAAGTGGAAATCATTATTCTCAGAATCGGGCTCTTCTAGACCTGGAAAGAGAGAGGTGACACCAGATAAACAAAGAAGAGAAGTAACATAATTCAATAGAACATAGATCAACAGATCAACTACAGTCTCAGTTCGAGCTGCAGTGACTCCTGCTGTTGCCATTAGTCGTCGTAGTCGTAGCAGTAATAGTAGTAATCGCAGTAGTAGTAGTACTAGTAGTAGCACTAGTACTTATAGCCGTGGTAGTCGTAGTGGTCGTCGTAGTAGTAAGTCATCGTAGTAGTAGTAGCCGTCGTAGTAGTAGCACTAGTAGTCGTCGTAGTAGTAGTCATCGTAGTCGCCGTAATCGTGGTAGTTGTCGTAGTCGTAGTCGTCGTAGTTCTTAGTAGTAGTCGTACTCGTAGTCGTATTCGTCGTCGTAGTCGTATTAGTCGTAGTAGTCGTCGTCGTCGTAGTAGTAGTAGTAATAGCAGTTAGTAGTAGTAGCTGGTTTTCATTGCATTATCTTGGCGTCTGAGTCAGAATATTGACAAGCTTACATCGCAATGGCCCCACCGAAGTGTAGAGGTTTTCGGCAAGCTAAGCGTAGTGCACTTTTCACGCCATCAGCAAAGCGATTATAATGCGAGGTTCCTCGGTTAAAAGTAACCTTATTGCAGAACTAAGTGATAAATTACTCTTTGGAATCACAAGTTAATGAGATGAGAAAAACGCTGGCACTCTTTGGATCCCTCAAAGATCACTTGATTACGCTAGACAGCATAAGTAACCCATTGGAGAAGACAGATCCTGTTCTAAGGGGAAAATCAAGATACATAATTGCCTCTGTTGCCTCTGAAGTGCACGAGCGAATATGTAGAGCAAAAAATGTGATTGTTTTTAATGTTTCGGACAGTTTAGGTCTGGATAAAGTAAAATTAACGATACTGAAAGCTTGCAACATGTCTGACGTTAACTGCAAATGTCAATCTTAAAAAAGACACCGAAACATTGTTGTCCATTTTCAATTTTTTAGCGAGGAAGTCGTGCAGCGATTCCTCCATTGTGGCCCATCCTAGGCCAGTGCACCTAATTTAATGGCATTTTGAGTAAACCAGATAGGACACCTCTACAAAGGTCCAAAATTGACACTGTACCGTGAACACTGGGTAAAATAATTAGGCTCTTCGAGAAATCTCAGCCAAACGTCCAAAGGACGAATGCATCCAAGGTGGATACTAGGCGCATTGGTTTAGACCACGTTAATTTAACAACATTGTCAACTAGCTCCAAAGCCGTTCTTCCTTACTCCACCGAAGCACCCACTACACAAGGAACGGAAATACCGGGTTCTCCTATTCCTGACAACAGCACTCCCATTATATCGAACTCCTCATGCATAAGGATTAAAGGGAAGTCCAAGTGCTTGGAACAACGGAGTAATGACAACTCGTTGAATATATCACAATCCGGTCCAAACCCACATGACAGGTCCAAGGATTGACAACTTGATGTAAGTCATAGTCCACTGTCACCAACGAACGACTTCTCCAATCCAGGGACCAGTCTTCAAAAGACCTTTGGATACTAAATACCCGATCGCCCCCAAAAGGCCCTATCGACCAACCTCCTACAACCATAGAGGCAAATAAGCTTCCATGTTGAATAAGCAATAACAACTGCCTCTCGGTTAAGCCAAATTATCATCCTGCACTCCACAACAACCACTGGAAGTGCACAGATAATGGCAGGATATCGACCAGTAGGACTATGTTACCACCCGCTTTTTTACATGTTCCTTTAAGCTCTCAAGCGGCTTCCACCAACAATCATATTTTAGCGGCGACGGGAATGGACTCGCATCCATTCCCATCTCAGATACATCCGGCGGAGGTTAACACCTTGATCCCACTCTCCCTTCATATTGTCCAGAAGACATAGCTAGTTCAGTACCAAACCAACAGCAGCCTAAGCATGATGCTTCGGTTCCCGTGGTGCCCCCAACCGTCTCGATATTCACACATGACATGCTACCCTTAGGCTAACTCGGGCCCACCATACTCGCACTTACCTACCATGTGCACCATGTTCGAATGCAAAGATTCCGACGATCACACAACGGACAGCGATCATTCCCCAATACTTAATACATTTTCAGTGATTCTGATTAATGCCAGATGGATAATCAACAAACTTCATTTTATAAACACACGCACAGTTCAATGACCCACAAGCAATCCTCGTCACTGAAATATGGTGTTCTTCAGATACACTTTACTCTGATGATTCCAAACAACCAGCTATTTCGAAAAGATCGCCGCGACAGAAAAAGTGAAGCGTGTATTTACAGCTAAAGCTATAGACCGCTCACAAGTGGAAAATATCCCTGAATCTATTTGGTTGTCAGTTGCGGGTGTCCCATCTTACAAACTGCTCGTATGTATCTACAAACCGCCGAATGCGTCTAAGGTAAATATCACCAACATCACTTCTGCATTTGACTTCGCATCAGAGTTGCCACCTAGCCAAAAGATTATTGCCGGCGATTTCAACCTGCCGAAAATACGCTGGTCATCCCACCCAACTTCTACCTTGCACGCCTCTTTTCTTTCTTCCATCAGAGGTGGGGGCTGGACACAATGGATTACCAGTCCAACCAGGTCCGCCAATGTACTGGACTTAATACTCACATTGGGGATACCCAATCCACAGACCGAGATCTTAAACAATCTCCCTGGTAGCGACCATAACATGATCCGACTCAGCTCCCAGATTAAAATGGTCACTAAACTCGCCTCTACAACGCCAGTTGCAACCCATAAGATAAACTGGGAATGCTCACAGCAGTTCATTCGTTTCTCCGACCGGGATGTATTCTTCCTCTCTACCAGTGTGCACACCGCCGTGCAGCAGTTCTATAAACAAATTCTTCACGCTATAGCCTTTCTTGCCCCCCAATGTATTCATACCCCTCATGTCTCCAAGGATTCCGTCGAGCAATTAATAGGCAAAGAAAACAAAAATTTAGCTGCAAGTTACAGAAGGACCCATGACTTTTTACTTGTCTTACAAATGCACAAATTTACCACCAGAGTCAAACACGCGCAATTAACACGACGAAAAAATGAAGAACATACAGCCCAACGGACAAGGTGCAAAGCTAGGGAGCTTGTCAAAATACTGCATCGTAGAATCAGTGACCGCTCTCCTTTGATTACCGAAATTGTCGATGGTGAGGGTCCCTTACTCTCTCATCCAGCTGAAATCTGTGTAGCATTCAGCGACTTTTTCGCCAATACCGTGAGTTGCGAAGCTGACTCGGTGCCTGTGTGTACAGAGCTCATCGAACCAAACCTCTTCAGCAGAGTTGATATCTCCGTCAACGCTATCCATCAAGTTATCAAATCAATCAGGCCATCTTCCAAGCTGGGATCTGATGGCATTTCACCAACCGCCATTGAAATAAGAGGACCTGATATGCCATTGCTCCTGATGAGCATGTTCACTCTATCGCTGGAATCTGGCCACTTTTCGGACCAATGGGAAACGTCATTTATTATGCCTCGGCATAAAGGAGGTCCCAAACAAACGATTGAGAACTACCGAGCAATCCACCACACTCCGATAATTGCTCGGCTATTGGAAAAGCCGGTCAGAATGGAGATGATGAACTTTGTTGATTGTATTGACCTGATCAACAATTCGTAGCATGGTCTTCTCAATAAGCGATCGTGCACCATCTGTCAACTGCATTACCTTAATCACATTTCATATCAATCGATTCCGGCTATGTAGTAGTAATCTTGTTTCTTGACATACACCAAGCGTTCGACCAAGTACCGCACAAGCCACTGCTACAAAGTTGGAGAAGTTTGGCATCCGGGATGTCGTGTAGCCCCCCGGGAAGCAAGAAGACTGGGCCGCGATCACGAAATCATTTATTAAGATTACGCCCGAATATTTATAGTATATACACTATTAACGACAGTCAGTCTCAATGGCTCATCCCTGTTATTTGCATTGTGTCGCTGACTCTCTTTCCATTGGTTTATGCTTGCCCGGCACGTTCCCTCTGCGGGATTGGATTCGCACGTTTCTTCTCCAAGTCTAATGCCACAAGCCTTGGCTAAAGGGTGCACGAGTATGCGCTTCTCTGCCTGCTGGCGCCTGATTGGTCACTTGCACGTTCAGTTGATATTTGCAGGGTGGAGGCGGTTACGGGCCAACTATTTCCGGATTGGCTGACCAATCTGCTTCCGGTAACATGCTCACACCTTATTGGTCTGGCTTGGGAAGTTCGATAGGCATTATAGTGTTTCCAATCACCAGCATTACCAGCCCCATCACATCCTTCCCTTTTTCGTTTTTTAGGATGGCGTTAAAATATGTTCCGTATTGCCTACCACTTCGTGTGCGTTTAATGTCCTGGGCTTCGGTAGCAGTATTCCTCTCCGGTTGTTGTTGCTGACCCTCTCTCTGCAGTGTCCACTTCTGACGCACTCTTCTCAGTTTCACCCGATTCCGTCGAATGAGATTTCCCCCAACCCTGACTTCATAGCTCCTCTCTCCCTTCCGGGCTTCGATCACTCCTTTCCGCCAGCATCCACCCGATTCCGGTAATGGCTGCACTCATCCTGCGACTTGTACCTAGTGGTGGGAGGCTTTTCGATTTGCGATCATAGTACCTATTTTGGCCTTAGAATTCTGTTCCGTAGTCGGTCGTGTAGGACATCGGACGGCGCTATTTCGGACTGCAGTTGACTTGTAACGGTCGGTATTAGCGTTCTTGTTCGGCGATTGAATAGACGCTGTGCAGGACTCGCTCCGATATCAGTAGATGGTGTATTCCTTCGGGCCAGTAGCATTATGTACGGATCTTGCTGGGACTCCTTGGCTTGTAAGAGTACTTTCTTCGCCTCCTTCACTGCGGACTCAGCCTTACCGTTTGAGCGGCTATGGTATGGGCTGGTTAGTCGGTGACGAAAGTCCCACTTCTTGCTGAATGCAGGAAACTCTGCACTATTAAATTGCGGCCCGTTGTCTGAAATCACCATCTCGGGTA